ATTATTATTATCATCATTATAACGATATTATACTCGATATTAGCGTCCGCGCGATATCGCACACCGTTTACAGAAATCCAATATTATAAAAGTTATTTGTCGACGTTGAGGGCCCCTCATATACATAGTAAACACTATCTATAAACGGCAACACCCGCTAAAACACGACGGCCAGACACTATTTCGCATTAACCGAAAACCGAGTGCGGGTCACCTGCGAACCTGCGTTAATTCCATACAATTTTTCTTTACAAAACTTTATTAATTGCACTGAATGATCGTCCAACCGCAAAAGTGACGATCGGTGCATTGTATAAAACTGACTCTGCTAGTTTTTCTTAAGTGTTGTTAACCAATATTATTTTCAAGAAGTTCAGACATAGGATTTCCACTAATAATTTCTTTTTTATAAACAGCTACAAATTTAAAGAACAACTTACAATCTGAGATTAAGTATATATAATCTATGCATTTGACAACTTACTGAGGGAAGAAGATTATGGTTTTACAAAGATGTTTAGTTTTTTTTTTTTTATTTGTGCGTAACTTTCCAACTAGAAAACTTGCCCGGATTTCTACGTAAAGCACCTTTTCTAAAAAAAAAAAAATCGGCGTAGGGAGGTACTTAAAGTAGGTTATTTTTCGATTTTCTCTGTAGTTTTTTTATCAAATTTGAAAAACCGAAAAAAAAAACGGAAAAATATAAGAAATGTAGGTATTAGTTAAATTATATTACAGCCTTCTTTTTTTCTGTGCACAACTTTTCAACCAGCAATTTCGCTCCAATTTTTAATGATCAAAATGTTTCTAAAAGGAAATTTCACTAAAGAGGTACATAAGGGAGGTCATTTTTTAATTTTCCCAATATTTTTTCCAAAAAATGTTTAAAACTGGGATAAAACATGGAAAATCATAGGAAAACTGAGAAAACAAATTTTATTAAAGAAAATATACAAAGCCTATGTAATTATTTTACTACAAAATTACATATGACGTAATATGACATGCATATTTTTGACAAAGCATCACTATCAACTGAACTCCGTTCAGAATCGTTTTTTCGTAAGCAATGGTTTATCGTTACTTACAGATATACATTAAATTCCCGTCTCTATCCTCCCACTTTCGAAACTTCCCACCTACACCAGTAGCTGCACCTGTCTCCATTATCTTACCTTTCTTTTTATTGGTTGTTTTATAATGAAAATGTGTTACCTTACTTGTTAATGTAAAACTCAATGTATTTTTTATGTTAAATATTATTTTTAATGAATTGAGCCATTTTACAATCTTAGATTCTGAATATAAAGAAGAAAGTATTCGTTTCAATAAGATGTATTTTTTTTTTCGAAAAACTCTTTTTCATATTTTAACAATTTTTGCCTGATGGCATATCATTAAAAACATCTATTGACATTTTCAGTAATTCAGCATACGTAGGTTCTTTTTTTTTTGTTGTTATCTGATTTTTATTGCCTTTTACTGCTCAGAATCGTTATTCTGTGACGGTTTTGGGTGAGGATTAGGGAATTTAGGATATTTTATACAGTAATTTGTTTAATGGATGGACAACCACAATACAAATTGTAAACAAAAAACGATTCTGAGAGAAGTTCGGTTGAACATGTTTTGATAAATTTGAATTGTAACTACAACATGAATCAATTAAGGTTATTCTTCATGTTTTTAACACAAGTGAATTTGAACTTAAAAAAAAAATGATAATTACTTTGAATGTTTAAAATAAATAAAAACAAATTATCAGAATATTATCCAGTGTTTTAAAACAGTTAGTACTAATATTCGATAACAATTTTAAGATAGTTTTTCACTGAATTCCGAAAAAAAAAATTAATTAATTTACCGAAATTAACAGACACGTTTTCCGGACGGATTATTTTTTAACTAAAACTACAAAGAAAATCAAAAAATGACCTAAGGCGGTCATGCAACAACAAGAGAGAAATTCGCTACTAGAAAGTTTCTATAAAGTTTTTGTTTGGGTTCAAATTTCTGACCGGAAAGTTTAGCGTGCACGGAAATTTAAAAAATATACGCTCAAAAATTTAACATTATTGAGGGGGGAATACAAAATATAATTTTTAATATGAAAAACCGTATATATCGTATAGCCACGGTTTTGTAATCTCAAGTAAAATGTTTTTGTAATCCCCTTTTTTTCATACGAGTTATATTTTGTTAGATATTTCTGCGCGGTGAATATCGGGTGACTGTACTTATGGAATTAAAAAATGTTTACACACGTTTCGTCCACGAATTTTCTCCTAGAAATAAAAATAATATTTATTCACAATACTGTGCACAACACAAACGTATGGTCCGGCTTGGTTAGCCTGAAGTTAATGTCACGGTGAAAAAAACGAATAATGTTTTTATTTCATTGTTTTTTTCCCTCGTTATAAGTTTTTTGTCCGCTATTATTATTATTATTATTTTTTTTTTTTTTTGTTTCCTCGATCTTTTTTTACCGATTTAATATTTTAATACCTCCCTTTAGTATAAATGTAGGCTGTTCTGCGGTGTTCTCTGTAGAGATAAAACCGCAATAACGTTAATATTATTAACTCGAGCGCAAAAAAAAAAAAAAAAAAACTAGTCTAATACGTCTTTTGTGCATTTTTCGCAATTGTAATACACCGATATCGAATTAATGAACTATAATTAAATAATCGGTTTATACATTTAAAAACCTATGGGCTTTATACCATTCGTATTTTTGAAACCTCTTACAAAATATTATATCCGTCACGTATGATTTTCGCGTCTATTTACATCCATTACGCGGGACACACTCAAGAAATTCGCTAGACTCAACCGGGTCAAAGTTCTCATTGAAAACTAAACCGGTGTGTAGAGGCGATGCTGACGTCGGGCGAATGCGACTCCACGGCGATTGAATTGATTTTTATTTATGCGTATGTTCTAAATTGTTTATACCCAATTTATTTTTATGTTTTCTTGCTTATCGATTGTACCATTTTTATTGTTTATTGGAATATTTTGTGTTACTGAAAATTAGTACCTACGATTAATGATTAATGAAAACCCGCTACAAATATAAATTATTTACATTCATATTGCATTCATATATATTACTTATATAGCTTTTAATTACAATAAATTAATTCATCCCAATTACCTACCATAGTTTAGTTTCGATAGCATAATTCAACATTACGATATACAGGGTGTCAATCGGTGTTATCCATACGCTAATAACTCTGGCAATATTCGTTTGTTTTTTTTTTTTTTTGTAATTTTTCTGACTGATCACAATCGCAACACGGTAGTTCCTTATCCCGACGGTAGTTTATAACGATTGTTTTCTAAAAATTAAAACGGCGCCATTACTAAGAAAATGTTTATCGGATATGAATGCGTGATAAATTACAATTTCACAGAATAATATTTTTTTACGAAATGGCTCATAACGGCACTTTTACAAAATGGTTTTATCAATATTTTTAGGAAATAAAATAAAATACAGATAATGCAAGGATATTTCTAAGATTTATGGACAAACACTTATTGGACAATTCAATTTGGTAGATTATTATCATAGGAGACTACTCTATTTAAATTAGGAATCCCTGGAATTCTGCACACGATAATAATTACCGCGAATTCAACAACGCCGAAAACTTATGTATGTTTGTGTAAGTAATTGGGCCGAATTAATTTATTACAATATAATTAATAGCTATATAGTTAAATATTAATATTGTTTTAAATAAATTATATTCGTAGAAGTTTAATCGTTAATCAAACAAGCATACGTACTAGTTTTCGCAGTCGTCGAAAAACTAAATTAATAATTGTATAAAAAAAATAAAAAAAAATAAAAATATTATCAACATAGGTATACAGATAAGAATCAACGAACGTGATATAGCGCGCGTTATGCCATTCCGGATTTTCGACCTACGGAAATAGTCCGACCGTATTGCGAAACACGGAAACACGATGGAATTTCATGAGTTTCACACCTGTCCTGCGTGTTCGAACCCTATCTCATCGGCGCCGTGCACTTCGCGCCCTACCGTTTCGCGCCCATTACCTTTTCCCGCCCGTTATCGGAATCTTTACCTGCTGAAATTATACAAGGCGTACTAATCGCTCGAAATTTAAAACCATGTAAAATTATTATAATAAAATATAACATAATCGCGTTCAATTGACAAATCATTATAGTCTAAACGTCCCCGCATCATAAATACATGTGCATTTAATTTATTAAAATATCGTATTACGAGCACATTGTTTGAAATTGTGTAAAATGAATATGATAGAATATAAACGTGAGGCAACGGTAGTCTACAATAATTTGACAATCGTATACGTTTATATTATAATATTTTAATTTTACATAATTTTAAATTTTGAGCGATTAGTCTGCCTTATATTATTTTTAGCGGGTAAAGATTTCGATAACGGGCGCGAAACGCACGAAAAACGTAATGGGCGTAATACCGTACGGCCGCAAAATGCACGCCACCGTCTCATCGGAAATTACTTCGTTTAAAACTTTAAAAAAATGGCCACGCACAACAACGGCCTACGCACGGTACGCACCACATCAAACGTTTATTTCCATAAGGCTTTAACCTGCTCCGCGTGGTTAAGTTCACAGTTACATCGGCAAGTACGTTATCATCATTCAAATGTTAGCGCACAGAAATACAGACAAACTGCATGAGCGACCGCGATAAATACCCGAGACACTAAGTAATCAACGCGATTGATCGTTTTTAAATACAATAAATAAAACTGATCTAGTTTATGTTATAAGCATAGCGCTTATAAATTAATACACTAAAACACCTGTATTATGAATAAAAAACTATTCAGTATTCCAATAAACAATAAAAACAGAATAATCAATAAGTAAGGATGTATAAAATGAATTGTATATAAATAATTTAAAACATACACATAAATACAAATTAATTCAATCACCGTGTAGTCACATTTGCCCGACGTCACATTTGCCTGGGCCAACATGCGAACATGACGTCGAGCTGNCTTCTAGGTGGATTACCTGGAATGGAATTGGAGTTTAGGGCACGGATTAGTAGATTAGAGTGGTTTGTAAGACGCGCGCGGAAAAGTCTATAGGCATTTTTGGCTTCTTCATTGACAGTTAAAATTTTTAAGTCTGAATGTAAGGTGTGGTTTGAAACATACGGAGGAGCGCCTGTAATCATTCGCAATGAGGTCGATTGGAATGCTTGGATTTTGTAAGTATTAGACTTTTTTGCTGCACCCCACAATTGGATACCGTATAACCAAATTGGCTTGAGAAGGGTTTTGTACAGTAGCAGTTTAGTTTTTAGGTCAGTTTTTGCTTGTCTTCCTATAAGTGGGAAGAGCGCTCTTCGTCTGGCATTTAGCAAGAGACGTTTCTGCTTAATATGTAAGGCCCAGGTAAGTCGTTTATCGAGAGTGAGACCCAAATATTTAACATTAGAGGAGGAAGGAATAACTTTATTGTTTAAATAAACTGGAGGTACTGTGGATTGTTTGAGAGTGAAGGTGATGTGGGATGATTTTTCATTGTTTATTTTAATTCTCCAATTGGAATACCAATCAGAGAGTAGGTTTAGATGGTTCTGCAAATATTGGCTGGCAAGAAATGGGTTTTTTTCGGAAATATATATAACTTTATCATCAGCGAAGTCGGCTACAGAAGTTTGAGAAGTGGTTGGTTGATCCGATGTGTATATGTTAAACAATATGGGAGAAGAGATGGCGCCTTGAGGAACACCAGCAAGGATTGGGGCCAAATTTGAGATTTCAGATCGTTTTTAAATACAATAAATAAAACTGATCTAGTTTATGTTATAAGCATAGCGCTTATAAATTAATACACTAAAACACCTGTATTATGAATAAAAAACTATTCAGTATTCCAATAAACAATAAAAACAGAATAATCAATAAGTAAGGATGTATAAAATGAATTGTATATAAATAATTTAAAACATACACATAAATAAAAATTAATTCAATCACCGTGTAGTCACATTTGCCCGACGTCACATTTGCCTGGGCCAACATGCGAACATGACGTCGAGCTGATCTAACTCACTGCAATCACATTCGCCTGAGGTCAGATACGTCTGTTACACTGGTTATTTTTTATTTGACTGGCGCAACGAGGCGTTCGATTCATAGTTTCCGATTCCGGTTTGCATCCACCACAAACACGGCGTTTTCCTCTCGTTCAATTTATGAATTCTTCGCATTTGAAAAATACACAGATTTACAATCGAGACAACGTTTTTCAATTTTTCTAATAAAACATCCGGGAAACTGTATTATTCATTTAAATTATTACTCTAATTGTTTGCACGGAAATTTAAACCGGTCTAATCCGGCCAATTGCCTGTGAATTAGATTCACTCGTCAGGCACAATTATGATAATTCGGAACCATTAGTGGGTTCCGAAAATTGCCGCCTAAAATCATTTAAACTTTTTGGCCCGGAGCAACGGCTTCTTTCGCTCCCGTTCCACTAAACGCGGCACGATCACACCCGCAGTAACACCAACACGGGACAGCGGGTTTCTCGACCCTGCACAATATTCTCGAATAACGTGACACTCCCATATTATTTTTTAAATGTATAAATCAGACGTGTGTACAGAAGGGGATATAGCGGTTCAACATCCCTCTACCACCGAAATTCGAAAACCTCGCCGTATTATATTTCTACAGTTCAAAACGTTTAGTTTTTTTTTCTACTTCTGAACATTCCTCGGCGTTTTTTCCTGTGCACGTGTCTTATGTATTTATGTATACAATAATAAAACGGCGTGAACGCGTACCGAAAAAATTATCCGAACGTTTCGAAAAATACAATTTCCGTAATACATTATTATTATTATTTTTTTTTTTTCGGTATACCGTCGAATAAAAATTCAGCTGCCCGTAACTGTACTGCGAGTTTTCGAGAAATAATGAAGAAAAAAAAAAAAAAAAAAAACCGAGATGAATAAAATCGCGATGACGCCGCCGTTATATCTATCTAAGTCACGCGCCGCACACAATGACACGCGACGGAAAACGGCCGGTACGTACGTTAGGAGAACGAGGAGAGAGATAGAGAGTGAGAGGGCCGAACGGAAGACCAGAAACCAAACGTCAGTGTCAACGGTGTCACTAAGTGACTCTTACTGATAAAACCCCGTAGAATTCGGTGCGTCCCCGTCCGGAAAACGTTCGACGGTGTTTTCAATGAGCCGAGACGTTTATCCGGGCGATGAAATGCCAACAATTCGGAATTAAAACGCTCCCGCGATTGAGATTCGCGAACGACGACGCGAAATCTTGTTTTGCTCTTGTTTAATCTCGCGTTTTAAATCGAATACGTAGAGTTTTTTTTTTTTGTTTTTTTTTTTTTTTTTTTTTTTTTTTTTTTTTTTTTTTTTTTTTTGCAGGCGATACTGATTATTTTTGTATGTAGGCAATTTTTATTCAGTTTTTTTTTTCCCCCGAAAAAATGTACATATAACTTATTAATATTTATTTTTCGAGGTATTTTAATTTTCTTCTTCTTCCCAAAAACAAACGGCGGCGTATTGCACCGCGGCGCTTTTAATAAAATAATATTCTCTAAATCGCCGTGCATAAACGTATTTTTTTTTTTCCGTGATAAAAACCGTCGTATTTGTGTACATATTTTTCTTTAATAAACCGTAAGAAAATTTATTTTTTTCGAAACGGATTTGTCTTTTTCTTTCTTTCGCGTTTTTTTTTTTTTCGATTTTCTTTAGTAACATTCAAACACCGTCTCCGAGAAAATATCATTTCGTGAGCCCGGGGAATCGTAGGAATATCGTTCGATAATTATTTATATTATTACGCAGCAATTCGTGTAGTGGGGTTCGTTTTTTCTTCAGACTCATTTCATCAAAACCGTAGTGTTTACTATATAAATCAATATTGACCATCCTGATTGTACCGGATTCAGATTAGAAAATATTTTTCCGGATGTATTGTACAAAACGAATAGAACTAATAACCGACGAGTTTATATTTGTCGTAAACATCCACGATTACTTATTTAGACGCGCGCACGCGTTTCCGGATTATGTTGCTGAAATATTGAATTTTGCAGCGGTAGTGCACTTATGTGTGTTGTTTGCACGGTATATTCAATTTCAACCCGGTGCACAGACATATATATATAGGTAATAATTGTTTCGGGATTGTTGGTTTTTATCGAAAGGCCGAGTCGAAACGAAATGCGTGTAAACAAGATGTCTATACGTTAAACGAGTTTCTCGCGATGTTCAGACACGGTCGACGTTTCAGATTCCGAGTATGACGAAGTGGCCATTAGTTTACAAAGATTTGTGTGTGTGTTTTCCTCTCTTGGAGAACACTTTGACCACTAAAAAAAAAATAAATGTTCCGATTTGTTCGTGTCGTACCTTAAAAGATACGGGATTTTTCGGTCAACGGTACTTTATTTGAAACGTTCATCGATATCGTTCAACGGTTCGCCCCTAGTTCCTTTACTTGTTTTATTTTTATCGTTTTCTCCGGTTATAACATGGCAACAAGTGGAAAACATGACCGCAATTCTACTCAGAATCGTTTTTTTTCCGTTTTAAACGATTTAACGTTAGTACTAAATTACCCTGTATGCATCCTACCTCCCCGACCACTCACCCGTAACGGTGGCCAACCCGTGAGCAGAATCAACTTTTTTGTCGGTAACAATTGTAGTTCCGCGAAAAACCGAATAGAAAATGTATATTATACGTACGACTTGCTCGTATGTGTACTTACATATAGCTTTTTCATTTCTGGATGAAAAGACATTTGGAGTAGCTAAAAGGATACGCGTGTGTGGGACGTGAGGGGATTTCCTTTGGTGGCCCCAGTGTTATATCCCCGGGAGATTTGCCCATTGTTATATAAAAAAAAAAAAAAAATAGAAAAAGAAATAAATCTGCCTGATAAAATTGATTTTCCGTCGGTGTTTACGTTACTGCGGCAGTGTACTCGCCAAACGGTCGTTTTTTTTTTTTATATATTTCCGTTTTAATAGAATATTATACAATTAATAAATAGTCTGCTACGATTTTATATGAAAAAAAAAAAAAAAAAAAAAATGGCGACCATAATTTACACTGCAGTTTAAAAACGCCAATTCAATTTTAAATTCAAATATTTTTCCGTTCTTGTTTGATTACCCCTCCCCTCCATAAGTTTTTTTGTACGGATGTGACTTTGAATGACCGATTAACGAAAGTGAAAAAATTAGAAAATGTATTCACGGTGTTTAACGTATTCATTGGAACTATACTTGATTTTACGAGCAATGTATACAATTATTTAATGCGAAGTACATAAAAAAATAAAAATATCTTATATTATTTTAAAAAAATACGAATACACGAGAGATTGGTCTACGCGTGTTTACCTATATAAATATATACGGTATTTTTTTTACAGAATAAGTATTACATCGTCACTATGTACATTTGTTTATTTTAGTTTTTTTTTTCTCCTAATTTCAAACTATCAAACTATCGTTTTCGGTCGAGTAATATTGTTTGAAAGACAAGTGTACATATTTGAGAACCGTGTTCACCCGTCATCACCCAACCGTTCGGATATCGTTTGAGAATTATCACAATCTAGGCGAATTTCCTTAGTCAAACAAACGATATCATTATGTGTGTTAAACGTGCCACTGTAGTTATTTAGCGTATTCAAAGCGGAACAATTTCAGTGCACTCGCGGTGGAAAGTGTTATTAAATTGTCCACTATTATCATTACGGACGGAAGCGCGAATAACGTTTCGTCTTAAAAAATTAAATTGCATAAACCGTTTAAAGATATTATCATTATTATACGCATATACGATAAAATACAGGCGAGTATATATTTATAAAAGCAGATTACAAGAGCAGACGATTACGGTGGTCTGGACACGCTTGGCGAAGTCAGAGTTCACATTTGCGCGTGGTAATAGAAAAGTACCCGGAAGTGAGGACAACACTGTTGGTGGACCCCGTTTAATGTGGGAAGATGTGGCGGGGGGAATATCAAAACGGAAGAGCCTCGGACTGGAAATCGAGAGCATATATAGCGATCGAAAACGATTTTCAAGGTTTCACTGCCAAAATCGACGGCCGTGATATTTAACGCCCGCCCCCGTACGATAACATTTTACCAGAGAAATAATTATGATAAATAATTAAAACTACCAGGTAAAACTCCATTATCCGGTGAAACTTGATCAGCGGGCGAGAGGAGTTCACTAATGATTATTTACCCTCTTAATATTTTACTTAGGGAGTACAATATTTCTCTGATAAAATTTCACTTCCTTCCACGAACTTTAATCGTGATAATAAAATAATATTAATATACATAAAAATTAATACTATTGCCATTTCTCTTAAAAACCTATATTTTTGTTTATTATAACGAAACGCCTTTATTTTTAATGATTTTTCGTGATATTCATTTTTGGTTTAGCTTACGCGAATGTTTACTAAGTATTAACAATATGTTTTGGCACACAATTGTGCAAAGCTTAGTATCAGACTTTAATCAGACAGATAATATATTTGTCGATTGAGATTTTATAGATATGGGATTTTCGAACCGCATAGTTCTACATTTAATATCTGGAATGAAGCACACGGGTAGTAGATACTTTTGTATGATACGATTGAATTTTTTCTTATCTCGTTTCGGCACTTATGTCTTTCACTGAATAAAATAACACCGGAGAAATTCGATCGCGTTGAGGAGAGCCATAAAATATATCACGAGGTCAATAATAATGGGTATAGTAAACTCCTACGAAATCAGTTGATTTCCTATACATGGACATATTGTAAACTCCTACACTGGATAGTGTTAACTATCTACTACATTAGATAGTATAATAGAAAATTTGAAAAAAAAAAAAAAATATATGAATCGTATTATTTGTTAATAATATCATTGATAAGATGGGTATTTTATATCCAAAAAAAAAATGTAAAATATATTATCTCCAAAAGTATGAAAACATGACGTATGTGTGTAA